GTTTGTGTGTTTACCGTCCTGGTCTCCTTAGTCATCACTGCCCTTCCCTTGTATGTATTATGGACCCTGTTATGATGTTTTTATTCCATTAAACCACCTTTTTTGTACTAGCACCTGGGTCAGCCTTCTTGAGTCCAACCCCAGTTCTCCCTCACCCTCCTGGTGAGGGGGACTAAACCATAACAAATACGTTTAGCAGTTTCATAGGTAGATATGATTGTCAGAGCTCTATTGCGTGGTAGCTGTGATACCAACCAGTAGGTTTTTTTTAAAGGTTTTTGGGAGGGAGTGAGCCTGGCAGAGATGACTATGAAAACATCCACTCACTCCAACGGGTTGAGGCAGTATGGCCACCCACCTTGACTCTGGGTCTGTTGGTGGTTTCTTCCTGTAAAGGGAGTTTTTCCCTCCCCACTGTCGCCAAGTGCTTGCTCAAGGGGATTTGTTGGGGTTTTCCTCTATTATAATACTAATGTCTAGACCTTACTATGTAGTGTGCTGAGATGACTTGTAATTTGGCACTATACAAACTGAACTGAATTGTACTATGAAGTGTAAGGTTGACAACATGTAGAATTTACCCAGTCATGGCTGTTGCCTGTGCAGAGGCATAAGAATGTAAATGATCAAAATACTGGTAATGAGGCATCAGATATTTCTTAAGCACGTTTTGTGTGTAAAATCCTAATTCATAATTGTAAATGAAATAAATGTGTAGTGAAAACTACAAATGTGAAGCTGAAGCATGTTTCTGCAGAGTATAGTATTGGCGAAAGATGGAAAGGGTTGGATGCTGAGGTCAGGGTTTCAGATCGAGTCAGAAGTTGATGTTCAGGATTCTTCTCTTCAGCACCAAGGACAGCGCACATTGTTTCCCTTTAAGCTCCTTGTTTCTTTTGCTGATAGTGACCAAACTCCCTTCAAAAATCCAGCAGGTTAATTTTACTTTTAGGAGAACAAACATAACATTCAATATACTGTGCAACTCAAGCTGGAAATGTTGTAGCAGTAATACATTAACTTGGATTTACTGCACTTTAAACACTAAAATGTAGGCTGCTGCTGGCTGTCACATGTGTAACATTAGTGACCTGTATGCAAAGTACCTGAACTCCTTCAACAATCTGGTAGTGTATGTGTTTGTTTGAAACAAGCAATATGAAACTAATTGTTTCTTAAATATTAACTTCTCCTGGTAAATTTGCCTCAAGTAGAAAAAACCATCTTACACTAGGTTTCTGCTGCTTTGTCATCCAAAATTGTTTTACTGCCACATTGTATACTTGTTTCCATATAGCCTTCATAGATTAGATTAACATTTCTTAATGTTTCAAGTGACCAAACTCTGAGAGTGTGCAGAGCTTCTGATAGTACCCCCAGGAGTTGTCAGTCTTAATGTGACTGTTGGAGCTTTAAAAGGACCAGTCATTACAGCTCATGTTATCACAAGTTAAAATTACTAAACCAAAAAGAATGCAGAAAGCTGAAGTTAACAATTAAAAATGGAGCACTCTGACATCTTTGGCCACACATTTGATTTTGATTTTGATTTGATTTATTCTTTCAAACATGTAACGACAGTCAATATGTCAACACACATAATTTCACACATATCCACAAATCCAATATCAATTTGCTTATACCTAGTACATGCTTGAACGGAGTAGGAAGAAGTCAGACTTATCTAGTCCTACCCCATGACATCATCTTACATCATTGGTTTGCAAGCAGTATTAATACATAGATAATTTTGTTCCACGCTAGTGATATACTAAAAAATATTACAGATTGTTAACATTCTTACACAATGACATACTTTGATAATTATCTTCTACATCACACAAGTAGAA